GCCAGCCAGGGGAAGTGAACGAGGCGGGGAAAGCAGACGTGCACCACGAGGGTAGCTTATTTGTTTAGTCTCCCAGCTCAGCGCCCTGCTCCCCGTCACTAGCCCGTCTGGCGCCCCGCGGCTCAGCCAAGCGTGGGGGAGGCAGGACTGGCAGAGCCCCCCTGGGTCACTGAGTCCAGTCTTCACAGGCAACCCCCATCCATAAACGTACCTGGCTCCTGCATGTTGGGCGGGACGTGAGCATGACGAGGGTAGCTTATTTGTTTAGTCTCCCAGCTCAGCGCCCTGCTCCCCGTCACTAGCCCGTCTGGCGCCCCGCGGCTCAGCCAAGCGTGGGGGAGGCAGGACTGGCAGAGCCCCCCTGGGTCACTGAGTCCAGTCTTCACAGGCAACCCCCATCCATAAACGTACCTGGCTCCTGCATGTTGGGCGGGACGTGAGCATGTACGGGCATGCGAGGTGGGTGTGCAGTGAGTGTGTATGGGCGTGCAAGATGGGCGTGCTGGGCGGGAGGGGTGTGTGTCTGGGCGTGTGAGGTGGGCGTGCTGGGCGGGAGGTGAGCGTGTCTGGGCGTGCGAGGGGAGCATGTCTGGGCGTGCGAGGTTTCTTGCTTGCACAAACAGCACTCCGAACTCCGTGGTGGCTCAGGCAGATGAGCAGTGAGTGAGAGGCCACGGCCCAGCTCCCGGCCGGTCCCGGAGCCCAGCGCTGGCACCGCAGCAGGCTGGATCCTTCGCCGGGCTCGCCCCAGGACTGGCCTTTCCCCCGCACAGGCTCCGTGTTCAGCGTTCTGACAGACTTGAAGAGCAGCCAGAAACGCCGCCCAGCGAGTGCCCCCCCCCGGAGAAGGGCCTCGTGGACACGGTCACCCAGAGGCCAGCGAGCCAGAGGGGCTGCTCACCTGCTCACACTTGAAGTAACTGATGGAGAAGTCGTCGAGAGCAAAGTACCGGCGCTTCCAGCTCTTCCTCTGAAACAGAGAGAACAGTCCTGCCTGTGTCCCAAGGCAGCGCTCCTGCCTCCCCCGCCCCCGGCACACACACGCACGGGCCCACATCTTCCAGCGCCGGAGCCTCCGTGACCCCCGGAACACACACACGGGCCCACATCTTGCAGCGCCGGAGCCTCCGTGACCCCCGGCACACACACACGGGCCCACGTCTTCCAGCGCCGGAGCCTCCGTGACCCCCGGCGCACACACACACGGGCCCACGTCTTCCAGCGCCGGAGCCTCCGTGACCCCGGCACACACACACGGGCCCACGTCTTCCAGCGCCGGAGCCTCCGTGACC